CTGAGTCTCGTTATTAGCTAAGATTTTGAAAAGGTGAACGTAGGAACACTTTAAGGTACGAAATACTGTATATAATGTATTTGTTTTGCGTGAGTAATCTAGTAATACTGAATTATTGCCTATAGGCAGAGGCAGCACTGGATTCTAAATAGTTTTAAGTTCATGTGTGTAGTTTAACTGTTATTTCCACTGGCTTGTTGGAAAAAATGAATCTATTAATAAATTTGTATGTAACGAGCAAGATAGTGATTCCAGGGCTCAAGATGAGTTTACTTAATGAATGATTCATGGAAAGTATACACTGATAACAGTATAAATCAACTTAACTCTTTAGTATGCTTAATAAAACTAAATCTTTAAGATATGATACTTTTAAGTTGATTCCTTTGCTGTACAGTGGAACCTCAAAAAATCGAACGTATCACATATTGAACGTTTCGAAAATAGGACCATTTTTTCGGACAAACTGTGTCACTATTATCGAACACTCCCCTATTTTCGGACCGCCGGGTACGGGACCTGTCTGCCGCCCGCTCTGTCCGCGTCCCCGCGCAGGCACCGTGAGCAGTCTAGCTTTGTTTATGCTTGAGTGAACACTAACCTGCGTTCTCAGTCACGCATTTTACGATTATTTCGTTGTGTTTAGTGCTTGTGGGACTGTGCAATAAGCTGGCATGGGCCCAAAGAAGCTTGCTAGTGGTACCCCTGTGGTAAAGAAAGTTAGAAACACCATAGATGTGAAGAAGGAAATAATACAGAAGTATGAGAGTGGTGTGAGACTTGTTGAGCTTGCCAGGATGTACGGGAAAAACAAGTCGACCATCGGTTCTATCCTGTCAAAGAAAGAACAAATCAAGGAAGCTGATGTTGCGAAAGGTGTTAATATAGGGAGTGGATGAGGTTCCTTCTTCAAAGATTAAGGAGAGTTGTGCCAAGTGGAATGATGTCCAAATGCTTGTGGAGAAGTACCACCCTGAGCAAGCTGAAACAAGCCATCTTTGCAACAAGTTCAGTGACAGAACCATGTCCCATTTTAGGGAAATGTTAAAGAGGCGCCAGAAACAGAAGGACTGTGGACAGTTATTTTGTGAGACAGGGGTCCAGTGACTCTCAAGCTGGTCCTAGTGGCATTAAAAGACAGAGAAGGAAAGTAACCCCAGAGAGGACTTTACCTGAAGTTCTCATGGAGGGGGATTCCCCTTCCAAACACTAACCCCAACTCCCTCTCTCCTCCTCCCTATCTTCCAGATGCCATCACCAATCTTCAATAAAGGTAAGTAAAAATGTTATTTGATATGCATTACTATACATAATTAAAAACTATAGTATTTGTTGTATGTAAAACTGTAATTTATCTCTATAAAATGTAATTTTTTGTGTGAATATTTTTGGGTTTCTGGAACGGATTAATTGTATTTCCATTATTTCTTATGGGAAATATTGCTTCGAGTTTCAGACTTTTCGAGTTTAGAACTAGCTCCTGGAACGGATTAAGTTCGATTTTTGAGGTTCCACTGTATATTGCTAAGTGACTACTTGGTTTAACCTATACCTTAGCATTTGCGTGCTTTTGTTGCAGTTTAATATTGTTTATAGAAAAATTACTGACCCTTTTCCCAGCTTTATCTTGCATTAAGCTTGTTATTCGCAGTAGGACATGGTCCCCCCCCCCTCCCCCATTTTTTTTTTTTAATATATATATATATAACTTTCAGTTGGGTCACCAGATTCATAGAACTTTATACAGTGGACCCCCGGTTTACGATATTATTTCATTCCAGACGTATGTTCGGGTGCCATTACTGAACGAATTTGTTCCCATAAGGAATATTGTGAATTAGATTAGTCCATTTCAGACCCCCAAACATACACGTACAAATGCGCTTACATAAACGCACTTACATAATTGGTCGCATTGGGAGCTGATCGTAAACCAGGGGTCCACTGTACTCCTAGAGGCCCCATGATTCTAGAATTTGTGAATGAATATTCCAAAATTGTCTACATAGTAAACTAGTTTTTAAATTTGGGTTTATATTGAGTCAACATCAACTTGATTAGTGATGTATCACTGATGCTTCACTAATCAAATTGATTTTGATGTTCATAAGAAATAATAAGCAGAAAAGTGAGATATAGGCATGTGGAAAGCCAGTGGGCACATATTGAACAAAATCTAATTATTTGTTTTTATATTATGGGTCATGCACCAAGCAACAATTTAGGAGTCGTGTGTCAATCACCCAGTTCACCCATTTGCTTCTCCAGCACTTTGAATATTTTGAATATTTTTTTTTATTTAATTAAACCTTAACTGTCCAAACATAGATCAGTGTTCACGTGCATACCGCTCTGAATATTTTTGGGGATTTTTTTTTTTTTTTTTTTTTTTTTTTATGAAGAGCACATTTTTTTCCAGTATTCCTGAAATTTGTCGTATTGCGCACACTGAGTGCGCAGACTCATTGTCTCATGTCTAGGTAACTCGGGCTTATCGTGCCAAGGTTCAAAGCATGTAAAATAAAACGTAGATCTACGATTGGAGCGCTATGCATGTGCACATTGATCAAAGTTTAGACAGTTTAAGGGTTAGAGAGGGCAATTTTCTGTGTGCAATAAGGTTAAACAAAATTTTTAGGACCAGTACTTACTGAGATATAAGACTGCAAAGTTTGCACTGAATGCTCGCCTGACAGCAACATCAAGTCCTGCCACTTGCAGAAGTGTCGCCGATATACCTTTTTTCTCGTTTTATATTATTTTATATAATTTTTATGTTCTGATATTTACAATTTATAGTAGTTCTTGTGATTTCATAGCCGTTTGTTCTGACACTAATATAAGATACTGAAATAATACTCATACAGTCACAAACACACTGACATGTCAGCATTTACACCTGCCTTGGTCATTTACTATTGTCTCGGAATATATACATAGTGTTTATTGGTCCAGCAATGGTTTAGACACACTGGAGTATGTATGAGACACCTTGAAGTATGGTGTTAAGATGAGTGTTTCTAAATTGCTGACAATGTAAGCAGTGGAGTGACACCATGATCGTGCACTGCTGTATGGAACCCTGGCTTTATTTGTTTTCACTGTTACACATAAACATGTCTGTCTCTGTCTTGCTTTGTTTATCTGTCTTTGTCTTTGTTTGCCTCTGTCTTTCTGCCAGCCTGTGCGTATGTCTTTCTGTCTGCCTGTGTGTGTGTGTGTCTTTCTGTCTGCCTCTCTCTTTCTGTCTGCTTGTCTGTCTTGTCTCAGAGTCGCTCATGAACCAACTGGTATTAAACGATCACATCTGATTCCTGAACAAGTGAAAATGCGTATACTTGCCAGTTGCCAGTCATGCTTGTTATGCATTATATCTACTAGCATGGTATAGCACTTTGTCTGGATTTTTTGGGTTATCCTAGGTAATTTACACTATGTATATGGCCTCTCTTCACTTAACGACAGAGTTCTGTTCCTAAGACCACATTGGTAAATGAATTTGTCGCTAAGTGAGGAGCATACTATAATGATTAATGGACTGAACACATCGACTCCAAGCTGAGTAACTGATTACCTTAATTTTCTCCTCTTCCTATACTTTCCTGCTTTGTATAAGACTGATGAAGCCACTGTGTGGTGAAACGTTTCTTCAATAAAGATTCCCATATGTTGCATAAGTGTCTCAATTCTTCATACTATAATGGTACTGGGTTTGTGTCAACCATCTTTGATGTCGTTCATGTCACCTTTGCACCATTTATAACATTTCTGGTATATTTTGAAATATTTATATGGTAGCGTACTGTATATTGTAATAAGCAGAACAGAGGAAATCAGCTCTAATATACATTATTTAGGTATGCACACTGGTCATAGAGCCCATCGTAAGTCTGAGTCGTCGGTAATGAGTACATCTCTAAGTGAGAAGAGGCTGTAATTGTATTTACGTATGTGTACCTGTGAGATAGATACAGACAGACAGATGGAGATAGAGACAGCCAATCAACCAACAGCCAGCCCAGCAGGCCAGCCAGCCTGCTGAACATGTATTACATGTTCCAGAATTGTTACTTTTTTCTTAGATGACACTACCACTGGTACTAAAATTGAAAGGATGTTGCACATGGGTTATCATCAAGGTTTTTGATATTTCTGCAACGAGACTTAAGAAATCGTAATGACAGCATTGCAAAACCCTACCCCCGCCGGATTGAACCTGCGGTCATAGAGTCTCAAAACTCCAGCCGCGCGTAGCCAAACAGCTAGCCACAATATTCATCTCAATAGGTATATTCTACACCATAGAAGTTAGCACAGCACCTCTGTGACCACAAATGCAGTTTTACAGACGATCTCAGCTAGCGTGGGCGTGACGAACTCTAGCTCAAGTCCTTCCACTGCCGTCAACATGACTTAAGAAATCGTAATGACACCGGCGGTTCAATCCGGCCGGGGTATGTTTATTTCTGCAACCACTCGTGGCCAATCACCTCAAAAGTTACTAAACTCAGGTCAACATCACTTTCCTCTAAAGGAGAGTGTAATATACATCATCATGAATCCTGGTGTTTGCTGAGCGTTTGGTCTAGCTGGTGTCATTGAAATGATGCTCCCACACACTGAGTGTAAGACCATTCTATGCTGAGCAGGCATCTCAGGCAATTGTGCAAATTTGAGCAGAAAAATAAACGTAGATTTACTTTAGGCACTACGGCAGATGAGATCAACATTTGGACGTTAACGGGGTTTATGAGCATTACAAAAGCATTACAGAAATCTAATCTCAGGTTTCCCAAAGATAAAAATATTGATGAACTGAATCTGCCTTCAGGAACCCTGCAGATTTGAGTTGATGTACATTTGCATTTAAAAAATAGCTGCCCTGTTAACTCTGTTCATTGTATTTCATTTGAAGTTTGTCAGTACTTTATTAGTCTTGAGCATTATTTAGAAATTTGATCTTGGTGTTTATGTAAATATAAATGACTATTTCTTTTCAGTTGTTGGTAGAAGAATCACTAAGAAGAGGGAAAGAAAAGAAGAAAAAGACTAAAAAGAAAAGTAAAGATCGGGAAAAAATGCTTGCAGAGCTACCAAACATTGCCGTGACTTCAGCGCCCATAGTAAACCAGAACACACCAACAGCAGCTCCAGCGGTTGTTTCTTCCACTGTAGTGCCACCCGCTGTTCCACCTCCCGGCCCAGTTCCTCCTAAACCTAAGAAAAATAAAACTAGTAATAACAAACAAAAAAGACAAAGGTCTAATGCTAGTAAATCGAAGAAAAAGGCTGCTGGTGGTGCTCCAGGGATGGTGTTTGATTCTGAAGACGAGGACAATGCCAAGCCCATGTCTTATGATGAGAAGAGGCAGCTTAGTTTAGATATTAATAAACTTCCTGGTAAGTTATTCACTCAGTGTCAGACATTAACTAACTACTTGTTGAGTCAGTGTGAATTATCATCTTTCTAGGTAGTCTTTAACTCAAGTAATTATGGCAGTTTTATTGTTTTTGTTATTCCATAAAATTGTTCAGATCTTTTAGATTAAGCTTTTATTCTAGAGTAAGAAGTGAAAACCAAGTTAATGAAGTGTACACACACACACACACACACACACACACACACACAACACACAACACACACACACACACACACACACACACACACACTCACTCACTCACACTCACACTCACACACACTCACTCTCTCACACACTCTCACACACACTCTCACACACACTCACTCTCCACACACACACACACACACACACACACACACACACACACACACACACACACACACACACACACACACACACACACACACTCACTCACACTCACACTCACACTCACTCTCACACACACTCACTCTCACACACACTCACTCTCACACACACACACACACACACACACACACACCACACACACACACACACACACACACACACACACTCACTCACACTCACACTCACACACACTCACTCTCACACACACTCACTCTCACACACACTCTCACACACACTCACTCTCACACACACACCACACACACACACACACACACACACACACACACACACACACACACACACACACACACTCACTCACACACTCACTCTCACACACACTCACTCTCACACACACACACACACACACACACACACACACACACACACACACACACACACACTCACACTCACTCTCACACACACTCTCACACACACTCTCACACACACACACACACACACACACACACACACACACACACACACACACATACTCACACACTCACACACTCACACACTCACACTGACACACACACTCACACTGACACACACACACACACACACACACACTTTTTTTTTCTCACTATCGTACACCTTCCTACCTACCTTCCTACCTCTCTTGTTACCTAATCCTTCTGGTGTCTACATCATTTCCTTCTCCTCTGGTTCTCTTCAATAATTTAGAGAAACTGGCTGTTCTCTTTCTGACTGACTTAAAGAGCACAATAGAAGTGTTAGACTTGCCTACACTAATAATGCTCTTTTCTGTCATGTTAGAGATCACAGTCATGCTATTGAATGGTCCTCTGCTAAAACTGTCTACCCTTCTAGCCTTCACAGTTGCCATCGTGTTGAAGCATCCCATGTACATAACTTTACTAATATGAATCTTAGTCCTGACTTGGTCTCTCTAGATGCCTTCTTTTCTCATTACATCGTCAAATGCTCCAAAGATCAGAACACTAGTGAATTAACTTGATCTTTATCTCTTCTCCTTTCCAGTCTTTTCTTTACCTTTCTTTGTCCAATGGGTTTTTCCCTCAAGGTTTTTTGTCCTATGCTCATGGGCCTTTAGCTCTCCTGCAGTGCTCCTTTTTCATTTTTCTTTTGTTCTTGAAGTACTTTCACTAGTAGTTCTATTACTACTACTGCTATTATTGCTTTGTTAACACTCCATTCTATTACTGTGTGTCACTACCACTACTATCTTCTTATTGCCACCTCTTCCACCAGACGCATTTGCCTGGTTTGTTTACATTACGTGTGGGCGGGGTGGGGTGGGCTGCCCTGGTTGGCTACCAAACTTCCCAAATTTGACTTCCTACAAATAAAACTCTCCTCTCACCCTACATTAAGACTGCAAATATACTGAGGTAATTAATGAATGTACTGTATATGTATTTTATCACTCTGGGGTGCTTTAATTAAATGTCTGGCATAATGCATGTACTTGTGGGTGGGGTGGGGTGGGCTGACCTGGCTGGCTCTCATACCTCCCAAACCTGACTTCTTACAAATAAAACTCTCCTCACCTTACATAAGGACTACAAATATTTTAAGGTAAGTAATGGGTGTACTGTGTGTGTATTTTACTTTTTATTGTTTTTAATGCCTAGTTCTATTGCTAACTTAACCCTTTGACTGTTTTGGTCGTATATATACGTCTTACGAGCCACCGCTTTTGACGTATATATATTCATAAATTTTAGCGGCTTCAAATGAAGCAGGAGAAAGCTGGTAGGCCCACATGTGAGAGAATGGGTCTGTGTGATCAGTGTGCACCATATAAAAAAAATCCTGCAGCACACAGTGCATAATAAGAAAAAAAAAACCCATCCTTTTTTGTTTTTTTTATTAAAATGCCAACTTTTTGGTCTATTTTCGTAAAGTATTTATGGTTGTATTGTTGTTTTCTTGGTCTCATTTGATAGAATGGAAAACATATAGAAATAGAGGTGATTTTGATTGGTTTTACTATGAAAAGAACTTTGAAATGGAGCTCGAAGTAGGGGAAATGTTTGATTTTTGCCGGTTCAAAGGTAAACAAATGTCATTTTCCAATAAATGTCCAAGCAGCCATTCTAATATGCAGTCATGAATGGGTTGATATTATTTATACAATTATTACAATATTGCAGTAGTCTGCATAACAGTAAATCTTCTATTTTTTGTTTGAATAAAAATTCAAAATAGAAAGCAAGAGTAATATCAGAGGGACCTGGAGACATGACTAAAGAACAAAGAAAATGTTATTTTAGAAACACGAATGTCTGCTTTGTTTATTCTGGACCCTATTTTGAAATTGTCATATTTTTTAATTTTCGTGAAATTGGCCAAATTGCCAATTTCTGACCACGTTATTGGGTAGTTGATATCGGTAAATGGGCAGTTTCTTGTACTCAGTCGATAGAAAAAATGGAGTTCTAAAGAAATAGCTACGAGTTTGGTCGACTGGAACAATGGAATTAGCGGGAAATAGGGCTCAAAGTGGGCGAAATCTCCAATTCATGAATATCGCTGAGGTCGCTAACTTTGCGAGAGTGTAATTCCATCAGTTTTCCATCAAATTTTGTTCTTTTGGTGTCATTACAATCAGGAAAAGATTCTCTATCATTTTTTTTTTTTTTGACACCAGGAGACACATCAGGATTTGGGGTTGCGACAGTCAAGGTCTTAATTTATGTTTGCGTAAACTGTTATCTGGCATTTATAGGTGGAAAAAATGGCGTTCTGCTTTCCAGCGATGTCTGCTTTCTGGCAGTAACCTGGAACCTAACCTGGCGTATAAGTGGGGCGCTTCTGTGCAAGTACCATGTGACTTATGACTGAGCTTGGTTCCAACCAATCGGTCGCAAGTCAGAATGGATGCAAGCCAAACCTTGTGCTTTTAGTACTGTATTTCATACTGTAAGGTTTAGGAGAAACACTGTGTACAACACAAATAGTTGTCTGTTTGCATACAAAACATTTGTATGCATGAAAACATACAAAAAGATTCGTATCATGAACAGAAAAGTACAAAATAACTTATACTAAGCTGTAAACAGTATGATCGTCAGTATGAATGGTCATATGTTGATCAGGTCATAAGTACAATAATAGGTGTGTTCCAATTGTTTGTAGTGTCTGAAGATAGTGTGTATGAGCATTTGCACACACTTCTACCCTACCACAAAACTAAATCAGACACAACCCTGTCTCCCTACATCCCTGCTCTCTTTACTTCTTTCCCCTGTCCCTGTATAATTGAACACTTGAATGAATTTTGAAATTTTTAAAGTCTTGCCATAGACTAGGCTTTGAGAGTACATAACTATTAACACCAGCAATTTGGTTTTAAGCTTCTAAACATTGAGTAGATGCTGGTCTACAATTAATGATTTTCTTACGGAGCTTTTATCAAATGCAGTTTTATATATATAAATGTGCTGTTTTATTCTACCAGACGATTAACTAGGATGAGTGGTGTATATCATCCAAACTAGAGAAGCTTCACTATGATCTAAATATGTTGTGTTGTTTTATTCTAACAGGTGATAAACTAGGAAGAGTGGTGCATATCATCCAGACTAGAGAACCTTCGCTAAGAGACTCTAATCCAGACGAAATAGAAATTGATTTTGAAACATTAAAACCATCAACGTTAAGAGAACTAGAAGCTTATGTTGCCTCTTGTCTTCGCAAGAAACCTAAAAAAGTTTATAGTAAGTAAATTTATATTTTTTTTTTAGCTACGTGTCAGCAGATGGGCCTTTGAAAGATGAGGTGAATCATAGAATTGATGAGGAGAAAAAAGGTAAGTTGTGCACTGAGGTGGCTGTGGAGACAAAGAATTTTATCCATGGAGGCAAAGAGGGAAATGTATGTGAGTATAGATATACCAATGCTCTTATATGGGTGTGAAGCATGGGTGATGAATGTTGCAACAAGAAGACTGGAGGCAGTGGATATGTCATGTCTGAGGGCAATGTGTGGTGTGCATATAATGCAAAGAATCGTAGTTTGGAAATTAGGAGGTGTGGGATTACCAAAACTATTAACCAGAAGGCTGAGGAGAGGTTATTGAGGTGGTTCAGACATGTAGAGAGGATAGAATGAAATAAAATGACTTTGAGAGCGTATAAATCTGTAGGGAGGGAAGGTGGGGTAGGGGTTGGCCTAGGAAAGGTTGGAGGGAGTGGGTAAAGTAGGTTTTGTGTGCGAAGGGCAAGGACTTCCAGCAAGCATGTGTGAGCTTGTTAGATAGGAGCGAATGGAAACAAATGGTTTTTAGGAGTTGATGTACTGTTTGAGTGTGAGCAAGGTAACATTTATGAAAGGATTCAGGGAAACCGGCAGGCCGGACTTGAGGCCTGGAGTGGGGAGGTACAGTGCCTGCACTCTGAAGGAGGGTTGTTAATGTTGCAGTTTTATAACAGTGGTATGAGCACACCTCTGGGTAGACAGTGACGGAGTGAATGATGATGGAAGTTTTTCTTTTTTTGGGCCACCCTGCCATGGTGGCAGGGTGGCATTGTGTTAATAAGAAAAAATTTAGTAGATATTACTGCTAACCATATATATCCTGGCTTTAGCAGCTTCTGAAGTTGTAGGGATGTGAGAGTATAGTTGTGGGAGTGTGTTGCAGGTGTGGGAGTGTGTTGCAGGTGTGGGAGTGTGCTAGATGTGGGGCTGTGTTCTAGGTGTGGGGCTGTGTTCTAAGTGTGGGGCTGTGTTGTAGGTGCGGGGCTGTGTTGTAGGCGCAGGGCTGTGTTGTAGGCGTGTGAGTGTGTTGTAGGCGCGGGAGTGTGCTGTAGGCGCGGGAGGGGTGTGTTGTAGGCACAGGAGTGTGTTGTAGGTGCGGGAGTGTGTTGTAGGTGCGGGAGAGCGAGTGTGAGAGTGAGTGTGAGTGAGTGAGAGTGTGAGGAGAGTGTGAGTGAGTGTGAGTGAGAGAGTGGTGGTTATGCATCATGCGTGGTGGTATGATAGCATGCATGCGTGCGTGCGGCGTGTGTTTGATGTGTGCTGTGTGTCTTTGGTGGCTGGAGTGTGTGTATTTGTAGGGTGTGAGTATTGGAGAGTGAAAGGTTTGTGTGATGTTTATAATGTGTGAGAGTATCTGTGGTTGTCACGCATCAGGTTGTAGGTGTGATTGTAGGCAAGTGGTTTTTTGATGGAGTGTATTTTATACTGTCACCAGTTGTAAACCCCTTTAATTTTCGAAATGTAGTCTTCGTTTTCTCGCCCAGTCCTCCGAATATTTGAAAAAAAAAAATTAATGAAGAGGACTTTTTTTACGTAAAGTAATAAAAGAAATTTTTTTTTTAAGGGTCAGTACTTACGGAGATATAAGACCGCAAAGTTGGTGATTTTCGCTCGCTTGACAGCAACATGAGGCGCTGCCACTCACAGAAATACTACATATTTATCGTTTTTTCCATTTCTTTTTAATTTTCACATTTTTTCTGGTATGTTGATAATGTTTTATAGCAGATCTTTCGATTTGATACCCAATTGTTGTTTGGACACAAATATTGTGTACAAAATTATTATTATCACAAACACACTTGTACACACTTGTAGGTGATATTGTACATCTGGTTGAATCACATTCTATTATCTACAACTTTTTTTTTTTTTTTAACAAGTCGGTCGTCTCCCACTGAGGCAGGGTGACCCAAAAAGAAAGAAAATCCCCAAAAAGAATATACTTTCATCATTCAACACTTTCACCTCACTCGCACGTAATCACTGTTTTTGCAGAGGTGCTCAGAACACAACAGTTCAGAAGCATATACCTATAAAGATACACAACATACCCCTCCAAACTGCCAATATCCCGAACCCCTCCTTTAGAGTGCAGGCATTGTACTTCCCATTTTAAGGACTCAAGTCTGGCTATATAGAAATAACCAGTATTTACAGGTCCTAGTTCTGTTTCTAGTACTCCAGGATTCTTAGACACTCCATGAAACATGGATTCATACAGAGTGCCACCCCCCCATTGCTGACACAGGAATTGTGTGTCCTTCCGTGTTGGAGTTGCCGTGAGGTGGTAGCACACAAAACACACTTTTTCTGAGAATACTTCTTTTTTTGGGTAGGCTGTATTGGTACCAGGTAGTGACAGTTAGCGAGGATTCGGTCTGGCACTTTCCCCTCAGGACAGGTTGTGGTGTGACATGTCGCTGTTGAGGGGAAGGAATAGGTGTGGTACCATACTTTCTTGCTATCTGCTTGATGGCATTTAGGCTGAATTCTGCATTACAAATTTGTTTTCCAGTCTTTATTTCATACATATTGAAGGCATTGAGCATTGCAATGTCTACAAGGTGGAAAAACACTTTGATATACCACTTGCGACTCCTACGCACACAGTCAACAAACACTATCATGATGTCACACTTGTCGACTAGCCACATATTGTTCGTATAATCGACGACAACAGCTGGGTTTACAATGCGTTCATTGTCTGTTTGTACTATCTCGTTTCTGTGGATGGTTAACCCTTTGAGGGTTTTGGTCGTACTAGTACGTCTTACGCGTAGGGGTTTTTGACGTACTAGTACTCATAAATTCTAGCGGCCTCAAATCTAGTGGGAGAAAGCTGGTAGGCCTTCATATGAAAGAATGGGTCTATGTGGTCAGTGTGCACAGTCTAAAAAAAATCCTGCAGCACACAGTGCATAATGAGAAAAAAAAAACTTTGACCATTTTTTTGGAATAAATCAGCGACTTTGCAGTGTATTTTCGTATGGTATTTATTGTTGTATCAGTTTTCTTGGTCTCATTTTATAGAATGGAAGACATATTACAAAATTGAGATGATTTTGACTGGTTTTACAATGAAAGGTGCCTTGAAATTGAGCTCAAAGTAGCAGAAATGTTCGATTTTACCAAACTTCAAAAGTAAACAAATCGTGCCAAGCGTGCAATACACGTCAACTGGTGAGTCTAATATTCTTTCACAAGTGCACCAATAATATTTATACCATTTTTTACACTAATGCAGTAGTCTGCATAACAGTAAATCTTATTTTTTTTGTGAGAATAAAAATTCAAGTGGAAAGCAAAAAGATATAGAGGGGCCTTGAGACGGGGACTAATGACTAGAGGAAATGTCCCATTTAGTGCAGAAAGTCTTTCTTGTTTATTCTGGCCCCTTTGGGGAAATTGGCATCTTTAAAAATTTTTGTGTGAATTGGGCAAAATTGCTAATTTTTCTGACCACGTCCCTGGATAGTTGAATTTATAAATGGGTGGTTTCTTCCACCCATTGATAGAAAAAATGGAGTTTCCTAGCAAAATATTCATGTTTTTGTCTATATACAGTGAAATTGCCGAAAATGGGGCTAAGTGGGCAAAAATCGCCGATGCGTAAACATAGGGGCCCGCTAATTTGGGCGAGAGCAAATTCCGTAAGTTTTCTATCAAATTTCAAAACTTTGGTGTCTTTAAATCGGAAAAAGATTCTCTATCTTTTCAAAAGAAAAATTTTTTTTTTTTTTTTATAATTGGCGACACCTGAGTACGAGCTTCAGTCTGTTTGACTATCCGTTCTTAAAGGGTTAACAGCAATGTCACGTCCCATTTGTCATGCCATGACAGTGCCATGATGTCATTAGCATGAAACACTTGCACTGCACTGTCAACACTGCCTCCACTGAACCTTGGCATATGTTTTTTATTTCTTCTCACTGTTCCACATATATCAGTATTGTTCACATTTAGGAAATCAGCGACCATCGGGCTTGTATACCAATTGTCTGTGTGCAATGTATGGCCCTTGCCAAGGTATGGTTCCATCATCCTGCGAACAACATTACCGGAAATGCCGAACATCCGCCTTGTCATCATCAAGTGTGTTTCTCACGGTGTAGACAATAACATCCAACACCATGCCATTCTAACAGTCACACATAGCAAACAGTTTTATACCAAAGCGATTACATTTGCTCGCTATATATTGCTTGAATGACAGGCGTCCCTTGAAAAGAATCAAGGAATCATCGACAACAGTGTTCTTGAATGGATAAAAATAGGCACTGAGTTTCTGCTTCAGATACATAAACACTTCCCGGATTTTGTATAAAAGGTCATTTCTGTTGGGCCTATTCCTGTCTGAGAAGTGCAACATTTGTAGCAAGAGTGAATATATTGCAGGGGAATGGAGTTCACGGAAGACTGGAGTACCTGATAAGGTAGTCTGTGGAACAGTAATGTGCTATGTTGTGCTTATATGTATGAGGCATAAGCATGACAGTACCAAGGAATAAATACATTTCGGCCACAGTTGTATCTTTCCATCTGCGCAGCCGTGACGATTCTGCAACCTCTGTTTTGTCCATTAGTATATACCTGTAGTAATTGTTTGTCTGGGTGACAAGTTCATTAGCGGCCCATCAAAATATAGTTGAAAAAAATCCAACTCTGTAGACTCATTCGTGATGGAACATTCTGGGAGGATGCCACTTCCACTGTCATCAAAATCAAAAGGATGTGGCATGAATGTTGTACTTTGTGCCCAGTTCCATTCACGGTCAGATGGTGCAGGATGGACCTGAGGCATAGGGCGTGGGGGAGCAAGAGGGGGACGGGAGTGGAGGCAGCATATGGTTGAGGGGGTGCCAGGAGGTCCTTTGTCTGCCTACCCAATTCACCACATGGGCCAGGAACCATGCCAGCCATCGTCACCTCATCCTCTATGCCTGCATATTTACCTTCATGGTCACTTTCATTGTCACTTGCTGGGGTTTTAGATCGTGACCTCCCACGACCCTTGGGTAGTGGATATGACACACTGCCTGAACGAAGGCAACAACGCCTAAAGGTACGCTTCACTGGGGAATAATGGATATCACTATCACTTGAAGATTCATCTAAGGGCATAAAATCAATCTCATCATCACATATATCACTTTCACTCTCATCTTCACTAAAAATCACAGAATATGATAATTTTCTTTTACGTAGTAGCCTCTTGAGTTGTAACACTGGCGACCCCAGAGGTGCTTGGCTGAGGGTCATCTGGGTTATCGTCAATATTTTCACTAATCCCTTGATCATTTGAGGCCACATTGGTCTCAGATCCACTAAACTCATGTTGTATATCACTTCCTTCGAATAAGAGAGTGTCAATACGCTGAGGCGTGAGTGAATCACGAGGGTTTGCCATGGTGTTGACCCAGGATGGAGCTGAAACTAACTGGTGCTCCCATGTGGTACCATGCGGTACCTGATTTTTTTCTTACAGTGCACACTGAGTGCGCACACCCACTCTCTCTTGTCTAGACTGCTCAAGCCTATTGCGCGAAATTTGAAGGCAGGAAAAATGAAACGTAGATCTACGTTTGGAGGGCTAGCGGTAAGAACGTAGATCTACATTTGGACAGTTAAGGGGGGTAAATTTTTTTTGGTAAAAAAATTTGTAAAAATGTGCCAGATTAATTGAAGTCTCCAGTGGCTATAGCTCAGCCCTATAAATAGCTAAAAATTAGACTAGATAGTTTAGTAGCAGGCCCAGGAGCTGAAACACAGTTCTCTAATCAATACCAGGAACTGGAATTTTCTTGAAACACACTTGGTTTAGTAGCAGACCCAGGAGCTGGAACACAGTACCCTCAACAGTACTAGAAGCTCAAGTTGTCTCCTCAAGCACAGGTAGTTTAGTAGCAGAACCAGGAGCTGGAACAATACTCTCAATACTACGAGCTGGGGTTGTCTCCTCAAACACTTTTAGGAAGTTTATCCCTTTCACTGTCTCATGCATAGATTTACCATCTGACTTTTCAGCACCATGCACCCAAATATGCTGTGACTGGTAAATTTTGGCTTAGACATGAGAGGATGTGTATGTGCCATGGGTATGCACAATATAAAAAAAATCCTGCCCCATGCTGTGCATGATGGGAACAGTATACTCTGACCTTGTGTTTGGTTTAAAATAGCAGTTTCAAGTTTTTTTAGAGTGGGTTTTGTGGTTTTATTGGATGTTTCTGGGTATTTATAGAATAGAAAACAGTGCAATAGAGATGATTTTTGTCTGTTTCAGTACTGGAAGTAGCTTGAAATAGGGCTTAAAGTGGCAGAATCCTTTGATTTTTTGGTAGTTTTTCCAAGGAAGGGTAGGTCCTTGCCTTGGTCTTTTTTTTTTTTTTTTTTTTTTTTTTAACACATTGGCCATTTCCCACCGAGGCAGGGTGACCCAAAGAGAAAGAAAAAAACTTTCATCATCATTCAGCACTTTCACCATCACCACGCCTCTATGCAGAGGCGTTCAGATATGACAGCTTAGATGTCCCTCCAAACTGCCACTAAAGTGCAAGCATTGTAACTTCCTGTTTCCAGGACTTGATTCCAGCTAAATCTATAATAACCAGTTACCCTGAATCCCTTCACAAAATATTACCCTTCTCAAACTTCAACATCTAGTCAGATCCCATAAAACATTCGACTCTATTCACTCCTATCTAACACACTCGCACACTTGCTGGAATTCCAAGCCCCTCACCCACAAAACCTTCTTTATCCCCTCCCTCCAACGTTTTCGGGGACGACCCCTACCCCACCTCCCTTCTACAGATATATACGCTCTCCAAGTTGTTCTACTTTGTTCCATTCTCTCGAAATGAATAAACCACCTCAACAGCCTCTCTTCAGTAACTCCACACCCCTCCTAATTTCCACACTACAAATTCTCTACATAATATTTACACCACACATTGCCCTTAGACAAGACACCTCCACTGCCTCCAGCCGCGTCCTCGCTGCAGCGTTTACAACCCATGATTCTCACCCAAACAAGTGTTGGTACCACTGTACTCTCATACATTACCTTCTTTGCCTCCATGGATAACATTCTTTGGTATTTATTAGCTCTTCTTCAAGTATTGGGATGACCCAGTCATGACCAATCAATCTTAGTTGTGTTTTATCTGAAAAATATGTTAACATATTTTATTTTGTTGGATGATGGATTCAAAATGGGGACAAAGGGGACATGATTAATGAACAAAGGATAAGTTGCTTTAGTGGCTGGAATACTTACAGTATTTAGTTTGGACTCTGTTTATGAATTGGAATTTGTTGTATTTTATGAAAAATTTATGAAATTATTGACTTCTTCGCACTTTTTATCATGCTGATTATTGAATAGGCAGCTTCTTACACTTATTTGATAGAACAGAAAACATTCTATTGAAATTGGTTAAAATATGGCTGAATTGTTGCATTAATTGCATCCAGACTGCCAACCCTCCTTAACTCAGTTTTTTTTTCCTTATTTCACATTTCTCATGTCCTGTGGATTGGTTGGTAGCATTTTCAGCCCACACACTGAGTGTCCATGGTTTGATCCCTGGTACGGGTAGAAATGTTGGGCATATTTCCTCACTCTTACTGTCTCTGTTCACTTAGCAGTAAGTAGGTACTTGTGTTACATCCTGGGGAAGGGTGGTAGCATACCTTAGATAGGACTGGGCTTTGAAATGAGCTGAAGTAGGATAACAAATCACTACTTTATTATTTATTAACACATCGGCCGATTCCCACCAAGGCAGGGTGGCTCGAAAAAGAAAAACTTTCATCATTCACTCCATCACTGTCTTGCCAGAGAGGTGCTTTACACTACCATCATAAAACTGCAACATTAACACCCCTCCTTCTGAGTGCAGACACTGTACTTCCCATCTCCAGGACTCGAGTCCGACCAGCAGGTTTCGCTGAATCCCTTCATAAATGTTACTTTGCTCACACTCCAACAGCACGTCAAGTATTAAAAACCATTTGTCTCCATTCACTCCTACAGATACGCTCACGCACGCTTGCGGGAAAAGTCCAAGCCCCACAAACCCCTTTACCCCTCCCCCAACCCTTCCTAGCCGACCCTACCCCTGCCTTCCCCTCCATACAGATTTATCCCACTCACGAAGTCATTCTGTTTTGTTCCATTCTCTCTACATGTCCAAACCACCTCAACAACCCCTCCTCAGTCCTCTGGATAATAGTTTTGGTAATCCCACACCTCCTAATTTCCAAGCTACAAATTCTCTGCATTATATTCACACCACACATTGTCCTCACACATGACATCTCCACTGCCTCTAACCTTCTCCTCGCTCCAAGATTCATCACCCATGCTTCACACCCATATAGGAGTGTTGGTGTAACTATACTCACATACATTCCCCCTTTTTGCTTCCATGGACAGAGTTCTTTGTCTCCACAGATGCCTAAGTGCACCACTCACTCTTTTCTCCTCATCAATTCTATGATTCACCTCATCCTTCATAGACCCATCTACTGACAAGTACACTCTTAAATATCTGAATACGTTCACCTCCTCCATACTCTCTCCCTCCAGCTTGATATCGAATCTTTCATCACCTAATCTTTTTATCATCCTCGTCACCTTACTCTTGACTATTTCTGAAAAAATTTGAATTGAAGCTCTCTGCACTTTTATTTTTGAGGTTGCAGCAGTGAAAAGGTTAATGTATGAATTTTATTGATCAATATTGCACATTAATTATTTGCATTGTGTAGGTGATGCATGTACTTAAGAAGCTCCAGCCATTTCTTTCATTTTTATTTTAGCTCGTCCCGAAAAGAAGAATGTCCAGTCAAAAAGTAAAGAAGAATCCATGGCAGAAAAGAAGCAGGAACTCGAAAAGCGGTTACAAGATGTCACAGGACAGCTGGGAAATCCCCCAGTACCCAAGAAGACGCCGAAGAAAGGTTGGCCACTAGTTTTAATAATTTAGCTATTTTTTCCCTCTTTAAAATTATATATGCATTACAGTACTGTTATCTATAGTTTTTTCCATGATTGAAATAGTACTTGCAATATGCTAAAAATAAACTCTGCATATTGGCTGTTTTTCAAAATGAACTAGTGTCTAATTGCTGGTAGTGAGAAATAAAACGTTACAACGTGTTGGGTACCACCTGTTTTTGACGAGCCTGGCCCAAGGCTGGGCTCTGGAAGTAGAAAAGCTCATTAAAGGTATAACACAGCCATCTACCCACCTTTAAAAAAAAAAAAAACAGGATTTTTTTCAGCTATATTCAACCACTTATTTCTTCAAAAATACTGCTACTTAAAGTGATGATGATGATAATAACAATAATGATAATAATAATAATAATTTTAGTTTAGCGTGATAAATGTTTGTTTAACTTGATAGATGTTTTTATGTTATCCGTGGAGGTAAAAAAGGGAATGTGCAAAAGTATATAGTGGTACCAACACCACTCTTATATGGGTGTAAAGCTTGGGTTGCAAATGCTGCAGCTAGGAGGCGGATGGAGGCAGTGGAGATGTCCCATCTCAGGTCAGTGTGTGGTGTATATATTATACAGAGAATTCGGAGTGTGGAAATTAGGAGGAGGTGTGAAGTTAATAAAAGTATTAATCAGAGGGCTAAAGACGGGTTGGTGAGGTAGTTCGGTCATTTAGAAAGAATGGATCAAACTAGAGTGATATGGAGAGCGTATAAATCTGTAGGGGAAGGAAGGCGGGGTAGGGGTTGTCCTCGAAAAGGTTGGAGGGAGGGGGAAAGGAGGTTTTGTGTGCGAGGGGCTTGGACTTCCAGCAAGCATGCATGAGTATGTTAGTTACGAGTGAATGGAGATGAATGGTATTTGGGACCTGACGACCTGTTGGAGTGTGAGCAGGGTGATATTTAGTGAAAGGATTCAGGGAGAATTGTTGTTTTTATATAGCCTTACTTGAGTTATGGAAGTGGGAAGTACAATGCCTGCACTTTAAAGGAGGGGTATGGGATATTGGCAGTTTGGAGGGATGTGTAATAGGATGGTATATAATTGGGAAAGGGAAGTGGTAATTTCATGCACTGGCCAGGGAGGTATACCATCTTTTAGGAGTGAAGAAGAACAGGATGTGAGTGTTGGGGAGGTGTGTGAGGCATTATGTAGAATGAAAGGGGGTAAAGCAGCTGGAACTGATGGGATCATGACAGAAATGTTAAAAGCAGGGGAAATATTGTGTTGGAGTGGTTGGTATTTTTGTTTAATGTATGAAAGAGGGGAAGGTACCTAGGGATTGGTAGAGAGCATGTTTAGTCCCTTTATATAAAGGGAAGGGGGACAAAAGAGATTGTAAAAATTATAGAGGAATAAGTTTACTCATTATACCAGGAAAAGTGTACGGTAGGGTTATAATTGAAAGAATTAGAGGTAAGACAGAATGAAGGATTGCGGATGAGCAAGAAGGTTTCAGAGTGGGTAGGGGATGTGTAGATCAAGTGCTTACATTGAAGCATATATGTGAACAGTATTTAGATAAAAGTAGGGAAGCTTTTATTGCATTTATGGATTTAGAAAATGCATATGATAGAGTGGATAGGGGAGCAATGTGGCAGATGTTGCAAGTATATGGAATAGGTGGTAAGTTACTAAATGCTGTAAAGAGTTTTTATGAGGATAGTGAGGCTCAGGTTAGGGTGTGTAGAAGAGAGGGAGAATACTTCCCAGTAAAAGTAGGTCTTAGACAGGGATGTGTAATGTCACCATGGTTGTTTAATATATTTATAGATGGGGTTGTAAAAGAAGTAAGTGCTAGGGTATATGGGAGAGGGGTGGGATTAAATTATGGGGAATCAAATACAAAATGGGAATTGACACAGTTGCTTTTTGCTGATGATACTGTGCTTATGGGAGATTCTGAAGAAAAATTGCAAAGCTTAGTGGATGAGTTTGGGAGTGTGTGTAAAGGTAGAAAGTTGAAAGTGAACACAGAAAAGAGTAAGGTGATGAGGGTGTCAAATGATTTAGATAAAGAAAAATTGGATATCAAATTGGGGAGGAGTAGTATGGAAGAAGTGAATGTTTTCAGATATTTGGGAGTTGACATGTCAGCGGATGGATTTATGAAGGATGAGGTTAATCATAGAACTGACGAAGGAAAAAAGGTGAGTGGTGCTATGGGGTATATGTGGAGACAAAAAACGTTATCTATGGAGGCAAAGAAGGTAATGTATGAAAGTATAGTAGTACCAATACTCTTATATGGGTGTGAAGCTTGGGTTGTGAATGCAGCAGCGAGGAGGTGGTTGGAGGCAGTGGAGATGTCCTCTCTAAGGGCAATGTGTGGTGTGAATATTATGCAGAAAATTTGGAGTATGGAAATTAGGGGAAGGTGAGGAGTTAATAAAAGTATTAGTCAGAGGGCTGAAGAGGGGTTGTTGAGGTGGTTTGGTCATTTAGAGAGAATGGATCAAAGTAGAATGACATGGAGAGCATTTATATCTGTAGGGGAAGGAAGGCGGGGTTAGGGGTCGTCCTCGAAAAGGTTGGAGGGAGGGGGTAAAGGAGGTTTTGTGGGCGAAGGGCTTGGACTTCCAGCAAGCATGCATGAGCGTGTTAGATAGTGAATGGAGACGAATGGTATTTGGGACCTGACAAGCTGTTGGAGTGTGAGCAAGGTAATATTTAGTGAAGGGATTCAGGGAAATTGGTTATTTTTATATAGCCGAACTTGAGTCCTGGAATTGGGAAGTACAATGCCTGCACTCTAAAGGAGGGGTTTCGAGATATTAGCAGTTTGGAGGGATATGTTGTGTATCTTTATAGGTATATGCTTCTAAACTGTTGTGTTCTGAGCACCTCTGCAAAAACAGTGAATATGTATGAGTGAGGTGAAAGTGTTGAATGATGATGAAAGTATTTTCTGTAACCACAAACTTCTGCCCCACATTCTAATACTGCATTTTTAAAACTATTCCAACCCTCTTCAACACCCCCCCCCTTCCTCCCCCACCCCTATTACTCATACTTGCAGCAGCCCACCTTTCTGCCAATAGTTGCTTATATTTCACCCGAACTCCCTCCTCCTTTAGTTTATACACTTTCACCTCCCTCTTACTTGTTGTCATTTTCCTCTTGTCCCATCTATCTCTTACTCTAACTGTAGCTACAACTAAATAATGATCCGATATATCAGTTGCCCCTCTGTGAACGTGTACATCCTGGAGCCTTCCCATCAACCTTTTATACACCAGTACATAATCTAATAAACTACTTTCTTTATGTGCTCTATCATACCTTGTATATTTATTTATCCTCCTTTTCAGGAAATATGTATTACTTATTACCATACCTCTTTCTGCACATTGCTCAATTAAAGGCTCCCCATTTTCATTTACCCCTGGCACCCCAATTTTACCTACTACTCCTTCCACAACAATATTTTCCCACTTTAACATTGAAGTCCTTCACCACAAGTACTCTTGACACTTGGTTCAAAACTCCCCACGCATTCACTCAACATTTCTCAAAATCTCTCTGGCTCCTCTACACTTCTCTCTTCTCCAGGTGCATATACATTTACTATAACCCACTTTTCACATACAACCTTTATTTTACTCCACAAAATCCTTGAATTAATGCATTTATAGTTCCTCTTTTCCTGCCATAGCTTATCATTCAACATTATTGCTACTCCTTCTTTAGCTGTATTTCTATTTGAAACCCCTTTCCTAATCCCATTTATTCCTCTCCACTGAAACTCTCCCACCCCCTTCATCTTTGTTTCACTTAAAGCCAGGACATCCAGCTTCTTCTCATTCATAACATCCACAAATATCTCTTTCTTATCAACCGCTCAACACCCACACACGTTCAGACATCCCACTTTGACAATTTGCTTCTTATTCTTTTTTAGTAATTATTACAGGGAAAGGGGTTACTAGCCCATTGCTCCCGGCATTTTAGTTGACTTTTGCAACACGCATGGCTTATGGAGGAAAGATTCTTATTCCACTTCCCCATGGATATAAAAGGAAAAGTAATAAGAACAAGAACTATAAGATAAAATCAAAGAAATCTCAGGCGAGTGTGTATAAATAAACATGTACATGTATGTGTAGTGTGACGTAGAAGTGTAAGTAGAAGTAGCAAGATGTACCTGTAATCTTGCATATTTGAGACAGACAAAAGACACCAGCAATCCTTCCATCTTGTAAAACATTTACAGGCTTTCCTTTTACACTCGCTTGGCAGGATGGTAATACCTTCCTGGGTGGTTGTTGTCTACTTATTTCCCTATAATTTTTACACTCTCTTTTATCCCCTTTGCCTTTATACAAAGGCACTGTGCATGCTCTGCCAATCCCTAGGTACCTTACCCTCTTCTATGCATTTGTTAAATAATAGCACCAACCACTCCAAAACTATATCTCCACCTGCTTTTAGCATTTCTTTCTTTATCCCGTCAATCCCAGCTGCCTTACCCCCTTTCATTTTACCTACTGCCTCACGAACTTCCTCCACACTCACAACTGCCTCTTCCTCACTCCTACAAGATGTTATTCCTTCTTGCCTTATACACGAAATCACAACTTCCTTATCTTCATCTACATTTAACAATTCCTCAAAATATTCCCTCCATCTTCCTGATACCTCGAACTCTCCATTTAATAACTCTCCTCTCTTATTTTTAACTGTCAAATCCATTTGTTCCCTAGGCTTCCTCAACTTACTAATCTCACTCCCAAACTTTTTCTTTTTATTCTTCTTTATGTTGTTGGGTGAAACAGTTTTTCTTGTGTGTATCTGTTTTTCTGTAGAGTGGTAAAATTTGTTTGTCACTCCTTTGCATTTCGCCATCTTCAACATGCCATAAAATCATAAGTGTTGATCAGATTCAGGAAAAGGCACTCTTTTAGTATGTAAGTTTTTTTTTTTTTTTTTTTTTTTTCTTCAAAATCTTGCCCCAC